TCTCGCCTAGACAGAATTCAGTTTCATCTTGAGCATAAATACCTTCAGTTTTAAGAAGAGCTATAGGCACCCTCTAGTTCCAGAGACCCCGCTTATTACCAGAAAAAATGGCCTAGGACCCCAGCTGATACCGGAATTGTCAGGCCTAGTCTCCCAGGAAGGAATGGATCCCAGGCTGCAGGCAGTGCTGAGCCCCAGCCGCTAGACCCCCACGGGTTGGTGTCTCATGAAGCCACAGCAGGAACTTCGCAGACACTCAGGCAAGCAAGCGAGAAGAGGCAGATTTGTTTAGAGAAAGAAAAAGTTTATTGAGGAGAAAAAGAGCAGAAATAAAGTGGGACTCCCAGGCCAGGGAACCAGGCCTGGGAGAGGCAAGGAAGCCAAAGTGGAGTCGTGTCTCAGGGAATATATACCCTCTTTCCCTGATTATTCTAAAGCTCCACCAGTCTCTTTGTGACTGGTTAGTTCTTGGCTGTCTTACTTAATTTGCTACTGAGTGGGGGATCTTCACATTCCTTATCTAACAGGTTTGTCTTTCCCCATTTGTTATGCTTATCGCTTTACCTTTATGGTCTAGTCCTCCCCGTGAGCATCTCTACACTTTATCTTATCATCTGAAGAAAACCAGGACCATCCTTAACAAGATTGTCTGTGGTTCTAGGATGTTTGTTTTTCCCCTATTGTTAACAATGTCCTAGGATGTTTGTTTTTCCCAGTGGAATTGGTTACATTTCCTTGGTTGTCCTTATCTCTGAAGCCTCCCTAAATTCTTCAGAGGTCCCCTCCTGCATTGTCCCTAAAACTGCCTAATAACCCTAGCTTGCCCTGTCTCACAGCCTTCGACCACCCTGTTCCCAGCAGGCCTCCACAGGCTCCAAGCGGCGGAAAGATCTTGCCTTTAATATTGAAGCTTAAACTAAGTAGTTCCTATGCTGGAAAATAAAACCAAGGCTAAATCACAATTTAAATTGTTATTACTTTTAAAAGGATGCAAATGTAGGTCAGGTAACATTGCTAAGTTCCTCCTGTGCCAAAAAGGTAGAAGTTTACTGGGTCCTGCTTCTCTTAAACTGTAAAAAAAAAAAAAAAAAAAAAGATAGACTTTTGATGTGGTAACAAATACAAATTTAAGGACATTAAAAGTGACCGAATAATGTCAACTTGGTGGCATACGACAGCCTTGGCTTTGATCCCCTTTTTAACACTAAAATTCACTACCTGGCCAAGAACATAGGTGCCCCTGTGGGAGCTGTGTACCTGGCATCACACCCCAAGGGCTCTAGAGGAGTCTTGCTCACCTTTGCACCAGGCTAAACAGGCAGGTGCAACCCCACAGGGTGATGGAGCTGGCAGGAGCCTATCCTGGCATTTGAAAAATGCTGACTTGTGTAGATGATGCCTGCAGACAAGAGAACAGCATAAAAATAATCAAATGACAGAAACAGAAAATTTACCAAAAGGATCTACAAATGACACTAAAGGATTGAACGGCTACTAGCCTCACTTAGAATAAAAACAATGCAAATTCTCCCCAAATATATAGTCATTTATGACATTAGTAAGATTATGAAACTTCCAAATTTCCAAAAGGAGAATGTGCAACTACTAACTATACAAAAAAACAGACCACAAAACAAGAAGACAGATATAATATGTACACACACATACACACACACGCACATGCAGGCTCACACAAACATACATAGTAAGGGCATAAACTTATGGGCAACCTACCAGATCAACTACTGGGAGCCATGCTACTCATGTCGTCTGACAAAGTTCCGGGCAAGGGGCAGATTCCTGAAAAGTCAGGAATCTCCTTAGCTGACTCCTGCTAGATTCTCCTCCTTTGTTTATGGCTAGTTTCTACTATTGCTAAAATAAGCATTTAAAAGTAAAGCTGCAAATGCTGTTTGATCAATTACTGAATAACCAAATCGATGGCAAATTGCACTGCGTGATACAAATATTACACTTTTTATAAAATTAGTAGTTCTCCCCCAAAAGGCTGTAATTCAACATCCGGCCTTACATTAACAAGTGAAAAAACTTCTGGGAACAAAAGGCTGTAAACATCTCTCCGCCAAAGTCTTTAATATGAAGATGTGGTCTTTTGAGGGAAGGGCTAAACGGAGCAGAAAATTGTTTTACTTTAAAGTTAAAGACAGCAGTTGGGTGGCAGACGCAAGCCATGCTCCAAGAGTAAGAAAATTCCTGATAAGCCAGGAGGTGCCATGGCCGGCTCCTACTAAATTCTTCCCGTTTGTTTAGGGCTGATTCTCCTGGTGGTGACAATTGATATGGTAGCTGTTAGAGTGTGCATTCAAGAATAAGTCAACAGCAATTCTGTGACTGGTTGAGCTAGTAACCACGGCAGCACAAATAATGCACTTGGAAATAGTCAATGTTACAACCACTGATATGTCACATATTGACTATTTTTGAGAACCAAAAGCTATAACTGTTACAGGGCAGGGAGAGGGGCCCAGTCTGGAGGGAAAAGAGCAAAATCAAAAGCAAGACAAAAATCGCCGTTGTCACCTCCCCACTGGTCTCTCACCCACATCTGTGTCACCCAGTCTACGACCAAAAGGCAAGTGCAGTTTCTTCACGTGTCTCTGCTCCATGTGCCTCCTCCAGGTCTCCTTCTGGCTCTGCATCCTGCTTCCTTCCTTCCTCAGTCTCCTCTGCAGCTTCTTCTCCATGCTCAGCTCCACCCTCCCTTAGGTGGGGCAGGAAACCTGGGACCTCCCCCTTTCCTGGGGACCACCCTCTTACAT